AAAAAAAAAAAAAACGTCCAGTTAATTCTTGAGTGTAACATAGCCAAAAACCTCAATTCCTGTTGGGCATGCAGAATCAGAAAGAGTTTAGGCCGGGTGTGGTGGCTCACACCTGTAATCCCAGCACTTTGGGAGGGCGAGATGGGCGGATCACCCAAGATCAGAAGTTTGAGACCAGCCTGGCCAACATGGTGAAACCCCGTCTCTACTAAAAATACAAAAATTAGCCGGGCGTGGTGGCAGGCCCCTGTAATCAATCCCAGCCACTTGGAAGGCTGAGGCAGGAGAATCGCTTGAGCTGGGGAGGTGGAGGTGGCAGTGAGCTGAGATCACACCACTACACTCCAGCTTGAGTGACACAGCGAGACTCCATCTTGAAGAAAAAAGAAAAAGCCTTGACCTCTGATACCACCCAGAACAAACCATTCTTTCCCTCAGAGCCAAGAAGACAAAGACGTGATGAAAACCTGAATGCTGGGACTATTTCAGAAGCGAGGGGTCCATTGGCCTGGAAGATCCAGTGCTAGGATCTGCCTCAACATACCTTACTGTAAATGATCAGATTTGAAGCCCTCCAATCAGGCTCTGCCAAGCCAACATTCTTTTTTTTTTTTTTTTTTTTTTTTTTTTTTTTACACGTAGTTTCACTCTTGTTGCCCAGGCTGGAGTACAATTGCATGGTCTTGGCTCATCATAACCTCCACCTCCCAGGTTCAAGCAATTCTCCCACCTCAGCCTCCCAAGTAGCTAGGATTACAGGCATGCACCACCGCACCCAGCTAATTTTGTATTTTTAGTAGCGATGGGGTTTCTCCATGTTGGTCAGACTGGTCTTGAACTCCCAACCTCAGATTATCCACCCACCTTGGCCTCCCAAAGTGCTGGGATTACAAGCGTGAGACACTGCACCCGGCCCAAACCAACATTCTTAAATCGTTTCCTTCGCCCTATTAAAACGTGCCCCAGAACCCAAATAGAGGAGATAGATTTGAGCCTGACTTCTGTTTCCTTCCTGGCTGATTTTGCAATAAAACCTTTCTTTTCTCAAAAGCCAGTGCTATAGTTATTGGCTTCTATGCACATCAGGAAGCAAGCCCATTTGCTCCATAATAAACTTACAAAGGCAGATCAATAAAGAAAAAAAGGACCCACACTTTATTCATGTGTCTACAAACACAGGAGCCACACACAAACTATGAGACTCGAAGAGAGGCCAGGTGGTTGAAAATTAAACACTCTCTTCACCACCGGGCACAGTGGCTCATGCCTGCAATCTCAGCACTTTGGAAAGCTGAGGTACGCAGATCACTTGAGGTCAGGTGTTCAAGACCAGCTTGGCGCAATGTGGTGAAATCTCATCTCTACTAAAAATACAAAAATGAGGCAGGCATGGTGGTACATGCCTGTAATCCCAGTTACTCAGGAGGCTGAGGCAGGAGAATCACTTGAACCTGAGGCGGAGGTTTCAGTGAGCCAAAATTATGCCACTCCACTCCAGCCTGGGTGACAAAGCAACACTGTTAAATATATATATATATATATATATATATATATATATATATATCTTTGCAGGAGAGATATATGGACCTGGAGACAGACATTGTTTTGAAAGTGATCCTCGGCCAGGCGTGGTAGCTCATGCCTGTAATCCAAGCACTTTGGAGGCCAAGGCAGGCAGATCACCTGAGGTTGGGAGTTCAAGACCAGCCTGACCAACATGGTGAAACCCCGTCTTTATAAAAAAAATAATAAAAATTAAAAAAAAAAAAAGTGATTCTCTTTGCAAGCTGGATGAGACAGACAGGTTACCAGGTGAGGGGTGGAACTGTACAGGAACAAACATTAGCTTACTATGCAGATAAAATCTTCCAGGTAATCCCTTAGAACTGCCCTCAGAAGAACAGATAAAAAGTCTGGATGTGGTGAGGACTCTCAGTCTCTTTCGGCTACTTGATGAGATTCCTAGGGAAGGTGTCTTAGACAATTGCATTTATTAGGAGAAAAGTGTTCTGATAAGGAGAAATTCCCTCCTGGTGGTTCAGTACAGAGGATTAGAAAGACGAAGAGATGAGGGAAGGTCATAGAGAGACTTTGAGGCTGCTGCTTTAGATCAGCATAAAGGACAAAGCATCATATTTTGGAGTATTGTTTCCTGAGCCCCAATGATATTCATAGCATGTAGACTTTTTGTCCTCATGGTTACAAAATGGCTGCCACATCTCCAATCATCATATCCATGTTAAAGACAATAAAACAAAATTAAGGACAAAACCAGCAGAATTTGGCATTATGGCAGCCCAGAGATGCAAGAAAGTCTGGAAAAGTGAAGATCTGGTTTTCAAGTCCCTAGAATGAGGTTGTGAATAATATTGGGTGGCCCAACCAACATTTTCTGCTATAGCTGTTCCTTCAACATGTATCAGAAACTTTTTTTTTTTTTTTCATAAAAGAAAAACAATTGGGCTGGGCACGGTGGTTCACACCTGTAATCCCAGCACTCTGGGAGGCCAAGGCAGGCAGAGCACAAGGTCAGAGGTTCGAGATCAGCCTGGCCAACACAGTAAAACCCTGTCTCTACTAAAAATACAAAAATTGGCTTCTGGATGGGCGTTCCCGCCCCTAGCTGGGGCTTGGCATGGTTGGGGCGCCGCGGCGGTGGCTGGGCTCGGAGTGTGAGTGGCCTAGCGCCACGTGTGACAGCTGCAGGGCTTATCCCCTCCTGAACTGGACGCCGTTCGAAAGCGCGCCCTCCACTCGAACTGCTTGTTGGGCTCATCATGAAGCGCTTGGGCTCCGTGCAGCGGAAAATGCCGTGTGTGTTTGTGACGGAGGTGAAAGAGGAGCCTTCCGCCAAAAGAGATCATCAGCCATTTAAAGTTTTGGCAACTGAAACTATAAGTCACAAGGCATTAGATGCAGATATATACAGTGCAATTCCAACAGAAAAAGTGGATGGAACATGTTGTTATGTTACTACCTATAAAGATCAACCATACCTTTGGGCCCAACTAGATAGAAAACCCAACAAACAAGCTGAAAAAAGATTTAAAAATTTTCTACATTCAAAAGGAAACCCAAAAGAAGTTTTTTGGAACGTTGAGGAGGACTTCAAACCAGCTGCAGAGTGCTGGATACCAGCAAAGGAAATAGAACAAATAAATGGAAACCCAGTGCCTGATGAAAATGGACACATTCCTGGTTGGGTACCAGTAGAAAAAACCAACAAACAGTATTGCTGGCACTCCTCTGTAGTTAATTATGAATTTGAAATTGCCCTGGTACTAAAACATCATCCTGATGATTCTGGACTTTTGGAAATTAGTGCAGTGCCACTATCAGATCTCTTAGAACAAACACTGGAGCTCATAGGAACAAATATCAATGGAAACCCATATGGGTTAGGGAGCAAGAAACATCCATTACATCTTCTTATACCACATGGAGCTTTTCAAATAAGAAATTTACCTTCACTGAAGCGCAATCATCTCTTGTCCTGGTTTGAAGGTTGCAAAGAGGGTAAAATTGAAGGAATAGTATGGCATTGCAGTGATGGCTGTTTAATAAAGGTCCATCGCCATCATCTTGGCTTATGCTGGCCAATTCCAGATACTTACATGAATTCAAGACCGGTTATTATCAACATGAACCTGAACAAATGTGACTCTGCCTTCGATATTAAGTGTTTGTTTAATCATTTTTCAAAAATAGATAATCAGAAATTTGCTAGACTCAAAGATATAATATTTGATGTATAAAATGCAAATAAAATAAGTTTATTATCGCTATATTCTAATCTTGGATATTCTACCATGTTTTAAAAATATTTCAAGGTTTCTATTCATTATGAAACATCAATTTGTCTTCTACCATTTGTGAAGAAATGAATTTTCCAGTTTCAAATACCTGTTCAAAATTTTATTCAAAACCAGCAAATTAATTTTAATCTCTTGCCATAAAAATATAAATTAACAGTGAGCACCTAAACTTGTACAAAGGCTGGAGCTGGATTCTCTCCACTATAACTGAGTGGTAAATTAGGCAACAACTAAACCAACAATTTAATGTCACTAATTTTCAATATTAAATAGTTGAAGCTCAATTTGATTTTGCTATTTAACAAAACATATGGCTCAGCCTCGTAACCTAGATGTCTATATGTCTACATCTGTATTTATATATATTATAGTTATGATTTGAGAATCTTAACACATGTATAAATAAGTATATATAAACTCCCAATTTTAAATATTAAAATTGCTGAATTTACCCTCAAAAAAAAAAAAAAAGAAAAAGAAAAAAAAATTAGCTGGGCGTGGTAGCGGGTGCCTGTAATCCCAGCTACTCTGGAGGCTGAGGCCGGAAAATCTGTTGAACCCGGGAAGCAGAGGTTGCAGTGAGCTGAGACAGTGCCATGGCAATCCAGCCTGGGTGACAAAGATAGACTCTGTCTCAAAAAAAAAAAAAAAAAAAAGAAGAAGAAGAAGAAGAAAAAGGATTGTATTAAACCCTATCTTTCTGATGCTCTTTTCTGAAGCATTAGGAAGATCTCTCTGAAACTTCCTTATCTGACTCAGAAAGCTTGTTTTGGGAAGCTGTTATCAGCATTGGAGGGGTGGTGTTGGAAAAGACACTACTTAATGGTGGAGTGCTGTGGCTCACACCCATAATCCCAGCATTTTGAGAGGCGGAGGTGGGTGGGTTGCCTGAGCTCAAGAGTTCAAGACCAATCTGGGCAACATGGTGAGATCTCATCTCTAGTAAGAATTTTTTTCTAAATTAGGGGCCAGAGACCAGGTGCCATGGCTCACACCTGTAATCCCAACACTTTAGGAGGCCGAGGTTGGTGGATCACAAGGTCAAGAGATCGAGACCGTCCTGGCCAATAAAGTGAAATACCGTCTCTACTAAAAATACAAAAAGTAGCTGGGCATGGTAGCGAGCACCTGTAGTCCCAATTACTAGGGAGGCTGAGGCAGGAGAATCACTTGAACCTGGGAGGAGGAGGTTGTAGTGAGCCAAGATCGTGCCACTGTATTCCAGCGAAACGCTGTCTCAAAACAATAAAATAAAATCATAATCATAATTAATGTTATAATTTCATTTTTAAAGTCACTTCATCTATATAGCTCTTCCTGCACCGCTAAGTGGCACACGTTGAGTCAGGCTTTGCAGTTTAAATGTGAATTAATTTGCAGGTCCACCCTCGTGTGGCTGGTCACCCCCTTCCCTCTGATGGGGAACAAAGCACAATTGCCAGAGCTTCCATACCTGGCCACCAGAGGGCGCACCGAAGTAGCCAAACTCGCGAAGGAACAGGGCGGTCCCCAGGGAACCATCCCGAGCAAAAAGCCGTTTCATTTTCCAAAGGCTGAAAGGCAGTCCCAGGGGGTGTTCACACTCTGTCTCCTCCTAAGTAAACGAACTTAATTGCAATTTAATTTCTTGCAAATTGCATCAACAGTCAAAGAGAATTTACTCCCTTTGCCCTTTCTATTTTTTTGCAGTAGGCTCCTAGTAATCATGACAGTTTAATGAAGTCCTTTTCAGGGAAGCAATTGGATTTCAATGCCTCTCTCCCTGGTGCTCGCCCGGCCATCTCCGCCTAGTTGTGTTTTGCTGTGAATCTCCCAACATCCCAATGCATTATTTTGCCTTTGTGGTCCCATGACAAATAACCTTCCTCAGATCTGGGTATATAAATATGTCTCTGTAGCCATCACAATTCACTTTTACAAGTACAGAACATAGAAAATCGCTTCTCCCCCATTCAGGTCCTTCCTCCCTTCATCCCTCACATTGGGTTTTACTGCTGACTGCTGACTTCCTGCCCACTTCACCCTTTGGTGTCATTGCGTTCTGGGGAAGACAGAAATGAATAACACCTGGCCCACATTTCATTCTTCAGATTAGCATGGTTCTAAGCACTGGGGCAAACAGAGTGAAGAAGCAGCCCTATCATATTCGCAATCACCAAGAGGCACCATCAATCTAAATGTTCATCAAAGAATGCATGAATGGTGGGGCCCGGTGGCTCAGCCTGTAATCCCAGCACTTTGGGCAGTCCAGGCAGGTGGATCGTACGGTCAGGAGTTGGAGACCCACCTGGCCAACATGGTGAAAGCTCATCACTACTAAAAATACAAAAATTAGCTGGGCGTGGTGGCTCACAACTGTAATCCCAGCTACTTGTGAGGCTGAGGCAGGAGAATCACTTGAACCCGGGGAGGAGGAGGTTGCAGTGAACCAAGATCGTGCCATCATACTTCAGCCTGGGCAATAGAGTGAGACTTCAAAAAATAAATAAATAAATGAACATAAGGTGGTCTATTCATGCAACGGAATATTCTTCATCCATGAAAAAGAGGCCAGGCACAGTGGCTGACGCCTGTAATCCCAGCACTTTGGGAGGCCGAGACAGGTGGATCACCTGAGGTTGAGAGTTCAAGAACAGCCTGGCCAACACGGAGAAACCCCCTCTCTACTGAAAATACAAAATGAGTCGAGCGTGGTGGTGCATGCCTGTAATCCCGGCTGCTCGGGAAGCTGAGGCAGGAGAATTGCTTGAACCTGGAGGCGCAGGTTGCGGTGAGCCAAGATGGTGCAATTGCACTCCAGCCTGGGCAACAAGAGCGAAACTCCATCTCCAGAAAAAAGAAAAAAGAATGAAGTGCTGATACATGCCACAATGCAGATGAACAACAAAAACTTTAATGCTAAGTGAAAGAAGGCAGTCACCAAAGATCACATACTGTGTGATTTCGTTTATATGAAATGCCCACAATAGGCAAATTCACAGAGAATACATTGCTGGCTGCCAGTGGAGGTGGAGGGGAAAATGGGGAATAACTGCTTCATGGGTATGGGCTCTTCTCTGGGGTGATGTAAACATATTGGAACTAAATAGAGGTGATGGCTGTTCAATATTGTGAATGTTCTGAATGCCACTGAATTGTACACTTTATGTAATGTGAATTTCATCTCAGTTAAAGAGAAAAGAAAAAATTCCTGCTCTTATGGGTGCAGTAGCATGATCACAGCTTAATGCAGCCTCCAACTCTCAGACTCAAGCAATCCTCTGGTCTCAGCCTCCTGAGTAGCTGGGATTGGAGGTACACACCACAACACCTGGTTAATATATATATGCACCCATAAGAGGAGGAAGGGAAAATGGGGAATAACTGCTTCATGGGTATGGGCTCTTC